AACAAAACATGCTTTTTGAGCTCACATGAAATATTTCCAAAATAGGACATGTTTCATGTCATAAAAGAAACCTGAATCAATTTCAAAGGAACAATAATATAATACAGACTACTGTTCTCTAACAACGTACAATAGAATTAGTAATTAAAAGCAAAGAACAGCTAAAGGAAATTTTATATTATCAGTAAATAAAATAAATAGCCATTGGATTTTAAAGGAAAAAATGTTCTTAGAACTGAAAATACTACATGGCAAAATTTATGGGAAACAAAGAAATATTTAGAGAAAAATACAGGTTTAAGCACACTTATCAAGAAGCAAGAAACGTTTTTAAAATGACTGTGATTTAAACTAGGAAGCTAGAAAAGGAGCAAGAGAGCAAACAGAGGACGCAAGAAAATAATGAAGATCAAATCAGAAATCAATGAGAGAAGCAAAACAACAGAGAATTTTAACAAAACCAAATTCTGATTTCCCTCCAAAAAATTCTATGTCCAGTAGTTCTTACAGAATTCTACCAAATTAAAGGAAGAGTTTAAAGCCCATTTCTTTTTTTGCAAATACCTCAGAAAATAGAAAACAACAAAATCTATGTAGCTCATTTTAGAAAGCTAGTGTTATCTTGAATCTAAAATAGTAGATGAGTCTATTAGCTCATTTCAATTATGATCAAATGTAAAAATCTTAAATATAATATCAAACTCCTACACTGTATTTCAAATGTATATATGTATAATATGAAAGGATCCTTCAATCTGAAAAGTCTTTAAAGGTAATTTACATTAGCAGACTAAAGAAACCAAACCATGTTATTACCTTAGTCAAGGATACAGTATTAAGTTCAATACCTATTTATTATGAAAATACCTAGAAAGCAAGGAATAGATAGGAACTTGCTTAATTTAGTGATAGTTAAACACCAGTTCTAGAGCATTACACTTAATGGAGGAATTATAGACGCATTTTCTTTATGATTCAGAATTCCCATTATTTAACACAGTACTGGAGGCCCTGGACTATACTATGAAGGTAAGAAAAAACAGACAGTTGTAGAACATAGTAGGGAAGAGACACAACTTGATATTTTCTAATGACATCAATATCTATTTAGGAAAACCAGAGAAATACAAAAAAGATAAACTACGAGAATTAATGAGTGTTCATCAGTACTGCTAATAATATTCACCTGCATTTTTCCACTTCAGTGGTAACCAGTGAGGACAGAGGAAATACAATATCTATCAATATAGCAATATAGTATGTGTACGTGTCTGCATTCTAGGAACTAGCTTAGAATACACAAGATCTCTATGGAGACATATTTTTTAAATTCTAATACATGATCCAAAAAATGAGCTTTTTGTTTCTTGGTTTAGTTTGTTTTAATGAGAGATAAACTATGCTCATGGATGGGAAGACCTTACTGTTTAAAAAACTGAAGTCAAAATTAAAAACATGTCTACTTTAGAAATCCCAGCTCAGAATGGCTTCATTTGGAATTCTACTAAATATTTAAATAAAAAATGACATCTAATTTATATAATATCTTTAGAAGGAGAGAAAAAGACTTAACCCAAGAAGTTCTATAATTTCAACATAACACAAAAACCTCGGTAGGATGTTATAAGAAATAAAATTTATAAGCCAATTTCATACCCTGAAAGAAATATAAAAGTTCTTTAAAACTAATAAACTGAATTCAGTGATATATCACCAAATTGATTTTATTCCACAAATAAATGGCTTAACATTCAAAAAACATCAATGTAAAAAATCATATTATCAACCACAAAAGCTATAGAAAAATATTTGATAAATTAAACATACACTCATGACTTTTTAAAAAACTGGTAAAAAACTAGAAACTTCTTTAAACTAAAACAAACATTATATTTAATGATAAATTATTAAAACTTTCCCTCTATGGTTGTGAGTGGGACAAGGAGGTCCTTTATCATTACTCTTATTCAATATTTTACTAGAAGCACTAGCTAGTACTTCAACTGAAGGAAAATAAAGTACAATCATTGGAAAGAAGAAATAAGATTCAATCAATATACACAGAAAACTTAAATGTGTATATAACAAATCTAAAATAATCTAAAGATATATTCTTAGAATTCAACACACACAACAAAGAAAAAATGAAAACTTCAAAAGATACCACTTATAATGGAATTGAAAAACTCAAATAACTGGGCTTCCCTGGTGGCGCAGTGGTTGAGAGTCTGCCTGCAGATGCAGGGAATACGGGTTCGTGCCCCGGTCCGGGAAGATACCACAAGCCGCGGAGCGGCTGGGCCCGTGAGCCATGGCCACTAAGCCTGCGCGTCTGGAGCCTGTGCTCCGCAACGGGAGAGGGCACAACAGTGAGAGGCCCGCGTACCACAAAAAAAAAAAAAAAAAAAAAAAAAAAA